CTACACTTTTCTGTGGGTATAAGGTCAGGTATTTAGATTGTCGTTGGGCATTATGCTTTTTTAGTAGACTAGTGGTTATAGGTTCTCTTTGAGATCCAAGACTTCATCAGCCCTGCGTAATTACCTTGTCTTACTGCTCTAGGCAAGATTTTGAAGACTATATTAAATAAGCTGGAAATTGGGCATCCTCACCTCATTGCCAATTTTAGAGGAAATACTTTTGTTCTATCTCACCTCTTTTCATATAATCTTGGCTACAAATCTGTCTCATGTAGTCCTTATTGTGTTCAGGATCTTCTTAGTTTCTTTGAGATTTTTTTTATCATGAAGAGATGTTAAATTCAATCAAAGTAAACTCAAAATCATTTTTGTGTTTACTGGGATGATCATATGATTTGTATTTTTCTTTTTTCTTTTTTGGTTTTTTGAGACAGGGTTTCTCTGTGGCTTTGGAGGCTGTCCTGGAACAAGCTCTGTAGACCAGGCTGGCCTCGAACTCACAGAGATCCACCTGCCTCTGACTCCCGAGTGCTGGGACTAAAGGCGTGCACCACCAACGCCTGGCCATGATTTGTATCTTTCTTATATTTGTTGATTTGTAAGTGTTTAACCAAACAGTTTGTATGAAGCCAAATTGGTGCAATGGTGTATGATTTTCTTAAGACATTCTCTTTTTGTTTTGTTTTTAGAGACAGGGTTTCTCTGTGTAGCCCTGGCTACCCTGGAACTCATTCTGTAGACAGGCTGTCCTTGAACTCACAGACATCTGCCTGCCACTGCTTCCTGAGTGCTGATATTAAAGGCATGTGCCTCCACTGCCTAAGTTATTCTCTTTGATGTTGCTTAAGTACTCTTTATTTTTAGACAATTCTTGAGATTTTTTTTTATTTAAGGAACTAATGTCTCCATTCTAAATAAATTCTTGTCAAAACAAAAGAGCTCAAGATGACATCAGTACTGTTTGTCTTAAGTTTTGGCATTGTGTGGATGACAAGTAGTAGCCAGTTATAGACAAGTGATAGAACCAAAGTTATTGCCTGATTTGTTAACATTTTCCCATGTCTAAACTACTACTAAAGAAAACCATATCTGGAGTCATACCAGGCTCAGTCATTTGCATTTATTTTATTTTATTTTTGAGAGAGAATTTCTCTGTGTAGACCTGGCTATCCTGGAACTTCCTTGATAGATGACCAGGGTAGCCTTGAACTCAGAGATCCACCTGCCCCTGCCTCCTGATTGCTGAGATTAAAAGTGTGCATCACCACACCCAGTTTTTCTCCAATTAAAAAAAAACAAACTTTTGTGGGTACTGGAGAGATGGCTCAATGGTTAAAAACAATAGCTGGTCTTCCAGAGATACTGTGTTCAATTCCCAGCAACCACATGGTCGCTCACAACCATCTCTAAGGAGATCTGGTGCCCTCTTCTGGCCTGCAGGGATACATGCAGACAGAACACTATACATAATAAATCTTAAAAAAAACAAAACAAAACTGGTATGCTTTTGATTATAGCATTCAGGAGTCAGAAGCATTCTCTATGAATTTGAGGCTATCCAGGTCTACATAGCAAGTTCCAGGCCAGTCAGGACTACACAATGAGACCCTGTCTCAAAAAAAAAAAAAAAAACCCAAAACCAATCCCTTGGGGGATAGCAGATTTCTGGAGCTGACCTCCAGAAAAGCAGATTTCAGTGGCCCTGGGTATTTGTGGGTTGAGAGAACCTTGGACAGGTGGACTCTTACTGAATGCAAATAAGTACAGTAAAGAAACCAAATTGGCTGTCAGTGGGTGAGAGGGAAAAGGTTTATTTCCAACTGCTAAGGCCGTTTCCCAGGAAAGCAACGAGAAGCAACAAGGAAAGATTTCCAGGGTTAAGGGGCTTGTGAGCTGGGGTGGGACTTGTGAGCAGGGATTGAGGGAGCTAGAGGTTAGTATTGACCTTTACAAGGTAGCAGGAACCACAGTCAATGTTAATGGAACTTGTCTGCTTGTCAGAGATAAGGAGAATGAGTTACTTTTTAGCAAGCAGGAACTTTCTTCAAGCCCCCGAGGAAATAGCGGCTTTTCTCTAAAAGCCAGACCTTGGGAAAAAGACTTTCTTGGGGGACCAGACAGTGGTGACTCCCAGTTATAAAATTATTTCATTGCTACCTCATAACTTTAATTTTGCTACTGTTACGAATTATAATGCAAATATCTGATATGCAGGATATCTGATATGCAACCTCTAAAGAGGTTGCAACAACCCACAGGTTGAGAACCACTGCCTTAGAGGCTATGCCCTGCTGAACTTGGTATAAAGACAGAGTTGTCTGGCAAAGACTCTCTGGACCATGAACACATTGTAAGAGTCTGTTCTCCATGGAGGCAGTTGAGATTTGACATTCTGTAAGGACTCAGGCATTATGCTGGTCTGCCCGTCACCTGGCAGAATGCACTCAGGCAATAGCCTGGTCAGCCCAGGGTTCCATGGTTGCTTAGTTTGCATGCAGGTGCAAAGGACCCCTTTAAAAGAAAGACCCCTCCTCACTTACGTTCTCTTTCCTGCTGTTCCCTCAGGGGAGACAGGACATATCCTGTGTCCCTCTTCTGTCCTCTCTCTGTCTCTGTGTCTCTTTACCGCTTGTCTCTTTTCTTCTCTCCCCCACCCTTTCCCTTTCTAATAAAACTTCTCACTTAAGCCCTGTCTGCCTGGCATGTTTGCCCCTCCGCCTTGGTCACCCTTCCCTGCCGTGGGATCCGCCAAGGTTCCTCGTGCTTTATTCCCCACACGTTCTACAGAGAAACCATGGAACAGAACCGAGAGTGGAGTCTGATCAGTCCCAGAAAGCAGACCCTCTTCTGCTCCCAAACTCCTCCCAGCTTTGTCTTCTGGTCCCCCTCTTACAAATAGACTCGTGGTCCCCACTAACCTTTCTGACCTTTTCTGTCCCACATCCCAAATAACTCAATACCCTGGATACATCATTCCCAGAATCTGCAGAATGAAGTTTCCAGGACAGGGAGTGTGTTACTTTACATATTGCTGATACAAATACTGATACAAAGCAACTTAAGGCAGCCTGGTCTACAAAGTGAGTTCCAGGACAGCCTCCAAAGCCACAGAGAAACCCTGTCTCGAAAAAACAAAACAAAAAAACAAACAAACAAACAAAGCAACTTAAGGGAGAAAGGGCTTATTTTAACTTCCAGTCTGTGGGTGGGGCCAGCATGCTGGCAGAGGTGTGAGGTCACACTGTGTCTCATCAGAAAGCAGAAAACAATCAGAAGGTGGAGCCTGGCTGTAATATCTGAAGACACACCTCCAGGGACTTATTTCCTTCAACTAGGCTCCATGCCTAACCTTCCAGAATAGTGCCAGCAACTAAGGGCCCAGTGTTCAAAAACCTGAGCCTAAGGAAATATTTGACATTCAAGTCACTGCAGGGAGGAGCAGAGCAGCATGAATATACCAAGCCAGGATTTTCCCTGGCGAATTAGGCATGCCCAGGTCTGAATGGTTTGTTCTGAAAGCTGTATGTTGAGAACTTGCCCCCAGAGTGATGGTATCAGAAGACAGGACCATTGTTGGCCATTACATCATGAAGTTGGAGCCTTTTGGATGGGGTGTAGTACACTTACACGAGATAACCCATGGGGCTGGGGATATGGCTCAGTCAGTAAAATGCTTTTGATGTACAAGTATGAGGTTCTGAGTTCAATCCCCAGCAACCATGTAGAAGCCAGGTGTGGTAGCTGTATGCAACACCCATGATTCTAGCACTGGAGTATACATGAATTTGGATCTCTGGAGCACACTGTGGCCTAGTGGAATTGGTGAGCTCCTGATTCAGGGACAGGGACCCTGTCTCAAAAGATAAATTGGAGAGAAATCAAGTAAGACACCTGGAATTTGCTTCTGCATATACATAACTCTGCATGTTTACCTGTATACACACACACACACACACACACACACACACACACACACACCTCAGAGACCTAAGGGCACTGATTCTGTCATACTTGAACTACTGTCCATGTATAAGAAGAACTTACTTCTTTTGTTGTTAAGCCACTGGGTCTGTGACACTTTGTGATAGCAACATTAGCTGAGATAATCAGCAAAGATGGTGATGTGTCCCCTTAATTCTCTCTGGTTTCCCCAGATGCATGGGGTAGGGGGCTGCACAGTAAGGGCTGAATGACTATCATTGATGCTTCTACCTGTCAGCTATAGTGAGTGGAGGAGCTGTGCCAAGTAGGACACTCTGCCCATTGGCCTTTGTGTAACTGGAAATACAGTGTGTCCACAGATGCTATCCCAATGTTCCCTTCCCCAACCAGAAGAAAAAAGACACAACACAGCAACAGACTGCTGGAGCAATAACTTTATTAGATGTCTAAAAGGCAGGGGTAAGAGCTCTTAGTGGCTTCAGGGTGAGTGAGTTGAGGAAGGCCTTTACTGCAGGGGTAGCCCTATGATAAAGGGTGAGACTGATACCTACAGAAATGGTCAGGGATGATTTGCAGAGGTGTCGGGGATCCCTGGAAGTCATCTTCTTGATCCCAAGGCCCATAACAATTAGGCTTGCAAGAGCTGGCCTGGTAGCCACTACAGGAGCTAAAGCTACACTTGTAGCAGCTGGACCAATAAGGAATCTAAAGAAAATTATCATGCTTGGGAAGGAAGGGGGATGAGAGAGAGAGAGAGAGAGAGAGAGAGAGAGAGAGAGAGAGAGAGAGAGAGAGAGAGAGAGAGAGCTAGTGGAGGAGGCCAGCTCAGGATACTGGGAAACACAGGCAAAGCATGAGCTAGAACTTTTGGCAAAGATAGAACCTATCTGATAATAGCCCTGCAAAGCCAAAAATCAGATCTTGCACTGACAGCACACTGGGGCACAGCAGCTAGACTGGCAACAGCAGGGCTTGCAACAGCTGGACTGACAACAGCAGGGCTTGCAACAGCTGGACTGACAACAGCAGGGCTTGCAGCAGCTGGACTGACAACAGCAGGGCTTGCAGCAGCTGGACTGACAGCAGCAGGGCTTGCAGCAACTGGACTGACAGCAGCAGGGCTTGCAACAGCTGGACTGACAGCAGCAGGGCTTGCAACAGCTGGACTGACAGCAGCAGGGCTTGCAGCAGCTGGACTGACAGCAGCAGGGCTTGCAGCAGCTGGACTGACAGCAGCAAGGCTTGCAACAGCTGGACTGACAGCAACATGACCCACAGCCTGAACAACAGCAGGGTTTACAACAGCTGGACTGGCAGCAGCTGGACTTGCAGCCCCCACAGGAGCCACAGCCTCCCTTGCAGCCCCCACAGGAGCCACAGCCTCCACAGGAGCCACAGCCTCCCTTGCAGCCTCCACAGCTGGAGCAGGAACAGGCAGGCACACAGCAGCACACAGGCTTGCAGCAGCACACAGGCTTGCAGCAGCTGGAGCCACAGCCCCCACAGCTGGAGCCACAGCCTCCGGAACAGCCACAGCAGCTCATGGTTCTGGTGTTGGGTTGAGGATGGAGTAGGTCAGAGTAGGTCTGATGGAGAGGGAGGTGCGTAGGTATGGGGCCTCCTGAGCCTGGGACCTTTATATCCCTGTCCAGGTCAGGTGAGAGGCTGCACATGGTCACTTCTTGGTTCCTGTTTGTGCTATTTTTAGGGCCACTTCTCTTGTTTTCCTGCAGTCATCATGTACCATCCATTGGTCTTTGACTTTTGTTCCCTGATAAGTCCAACTCTATTGCTGAATTTATTTCCAGAGTGGATCAAGGTCCCCAAGGGCTTAGCTCATTTTGGTAAAATACAGACTTACATTTGAGTAATTAAGTCTTTTTTTTTTGCTTGTGTATGCGTCTTAGTTTGGATTTTTAGTGCTATGAAGAGACACTATGACCACAGCATCTCTTATGAGGAAAACATTTAATTGGGGTGACTCGTTTACAGTTTCAGAGATTTAGTCCATTATCATCCTGGTGGGGAGCATGGTGGCATGCAGGCAGATGTGGTGCTGGAGCTGAGAGTGCCATATCTTACAGGCAACAGGAAGTCAACTGAGACACTGGGAAGTTTCCTGAGTATAGGAAGCCCTCCCCACAGTGACACACTTCCTCCAACAAGGTCATTCCCAATGCAGCAAGCCATACCTCCATTCCCTATGAGACTATAGGGGTCAGTCACATTCAAATTACCACGTATGTGCATGCAATGTATTCATGTATGTGTATGTATGTATATATGTGGGAGTGCTTTCTAGTGTGTGCCTTCTTGTGATGGCCAGAGACTGCTCGCAGGTATCTTCCTCAGTCATTCTGCTGCATATATTGAGGTAATGTCTCCTGTGGCACCAGAGCTTGCTCTCCTTGCTAGTGCATCTAGCCAGCGTGCTGGGGATTCTCGGTCTCTTCCTTTGGCATGCTGGGATTATAGGTGGGCTGCCATGTTCACCCTGCAAAGAAGTCAAAGAAGTTCTCTGTGTGTGTGTGTGTGTGTGTGTGTGTGTGTGTGTGTGTGTGTGTGTGTAGGGGTAGGTATGCATGCATGTGTATGTAGAGGCCACAGGACAGCCTGGGTAGCATTCATCAGGAGCTGCATACATTGTTTTTGAGATAGGGTCTCTCACTGGCCTGGGACTCTCCTATTAAGCTAGGTTAACTGAATGAGCCCTGAGATCTTGCTGCTTCCAATCTTCTCAGTGCTGTGGCTATGTGTGCGTATCACCATACCAAGCTCTTTAGGTACTTTTGGGGAATCAAACTTGGGGCCTCATGCTTGCAAGGCAAGCACTTTACCAATAGAGTTATCTCCAAAGCACCAAGTTTATCTGTAATAATTTATCTGTAGGGTCTATTTTTGTATTGACACTTTTAAAGTGAAAATTGGAAAGCATTTATTCCCTTTAAATCTTTGTAGCATTTGTTTGTGTGGTTGACCTGGATAGTGTCCCACAGGCACAATGGCAGCTTTGCCTTATTCCAGATTTTGCAGGTAATATGTCTAATATTTATAAGGTGAAATGGGTATTGTACCTTTTGGGTGGGAAGTCTGATCAGTTTAAGGAAGGTCCTTTGTCTCTAACCTGCTGACCATTTTACTTTGTCCTCAAGACTTGACTGGATGGCTGGTATCCCTCTTTACTCAGTATGGTGAATTATAGATAGACTTTAAAATGTGGATAACCCTTGACCTACTGAGGCACAAGGTACTGAGGTTGTTATAGCTTGCATGTTGTATAATTTGTCCATACGTGTTTTGAGAGGTTAAGATAGGTGTCCCTATATAGCTCAGGCTTGCCTTGTGATCCCCTTGCCTCCGCCTCCAGAGTGCAGGCATTATTGGTGTGCACCACATACCACTTGAGGGTGTTTTGCTTTGCTTCATACATTTCAAACTGGCTTTGCTGACATACAGTTTTTTGAGACTCCCTCTGCATCAGGGAGCTTTATGATTCTGATCCCTCCTGTTGCTTCTGCTATTTTCAGTGTGCAGTGCACACAAGTCCCCTGTCATGTAAGAAGATGTTCCCAAGTTGTCTATTTCTGGAAAAGTTTCTACATGACAGGAATTACTCAGTCCTGGGTTGTTGTTTTGGGGAACTTACTCTTGGGCGTTGTGTCTAGCAGAGTATATAGTGGGGGGTGACACTCTCCATTAAGTGTTGTTAGCAAGTCTTTTTTTTTTTTTTTTTTTTTTTGGTTTTTCGAGACAGGGTTTCTCTGTGGCTTTGGATGCTGTCCTGGAACTCACTTTGTAGACCAGGCTGGCCTCGAACTCACAGAGTTCCGCCTGCCTCTGCCTCCCGAGTGCTGGGATTAAAGGCATGCACCACCACTGCCCGGTGCAAGTCTTTTCTTAATTTGCTGTTTCTCTTTTCTTCTCTCTCTCTCTCTCTCTCTCTCTCTCTCTCTCTCTCTCTCTCTCTCTCTCTCTCTCTCTCTCTGCTGCTTTTTTTCTTTTGGGGGTACCAGCTTTTCTAACTTAAGTTATCCCATTTCTCTTTAATTATGTTTTGCCTCTGGGCTTATTACCTTTCTTTATTCTATATATCTTTCTTTCCTTCTTACTCCATGGCTGACTGTGTGGCTGTCCCTGGTGCCCTCCTCTCCTTTTCTCGCTCCTCCCTCACTTCCCTAGTTTTCTCTTATTTACTCTCTCTGCCTGCCAGCCTATTTCTCCTGCCTGGCTATTGGCTGTTCATCTTTTTAATAGACCGATCAGGTGTCTTAGGCAGGCAACGTAACACAGCCTTACAGAGTTAAATGCAACATAAAAGAATGCAACACACCTCTGCGTCATTAAACAAATATTCCACAGCATACACCAATGTGACACATCTTAAACTAAGATTCCACCTCTCTCTCTCCCTACCTCTCTCCCCCTCCCCTCTCTTTCTCTGTTGTCAGTGTACACGTGTGTACGTGTGTGTACATGTGTGTACGTGTGCCTATGGGGACCAGAGGGCAACCCTTAGGTGTTGTTCCTCAGGTGCCACCCACCTTTGAGACAGGGTCTCTCACAGGCTTAGAGCTTGATGATGCAGCTAGGCCGACTGGCCAGGGAGCTCCGGGGACCTGCCCATCTCCAACCCACCAGCACCAGGGTTGCAGGTACATGCATGGTACTTGGCTTTTGTATGTGGCTTCTGGGGACTGAACTCCTATCCTCATGCTTGTGTGTGAGCACTTTACCGACTACTAAGTCATCCCCCGGCCTGCTCTGCTTCCTTTGTTTTACTAAGTATTTTAGATGTATGAGTGTCTTACCTGTGCGTTAGTCAGAGATTTCTAGAAAAACAGAACTAATAAAATGAATCTATATATACTGGTCTGACTAGTCCAACAATGACTGTCTCCCAACAGAAAGTCTAAGAATCCAGTATTTGTCCAGTCCACAAGATAGGATGTCTCAGCCAGTCTGTAGTATATGCTGGAATCCTGAAGAAGTAGGCTCTAAAACCAGCAAAGGAATGGGGCAAGCAGGCAAAGAGCAAGTAATTCCTTCCTCTGTGTTCCTTATATAGGCTACCACCAGAAGATGTGGCCCCAGATTTAATCTCAAATGTTGCAATCAAGAAACATTCCTCATAGATGTATCCAATTGCTTGGGTTTTAGCTAATTCTGGATGTAATCAAGTTGACAACCAAGAATAGTCAGCCTACATATATGTATGTGCCTAACATGTATGCCTGGTGCCTGTAGAGTTCAGAAGAGAGTATCTGGTTCCCTGGAGCTGGAGAAGGGATAGGGATGGTTGTAATCTACCATGTGGGTTCTGGGATCTGAACCTCTGCAAGATCAGCAAGTGCTCTAACTTCTGAGTCATCACTCCAGCCCTGATCTGTTGCTTTTAAAGATTAAATACTATTTACTTTAATTTTCTTTCTTTCGTTCTTTTGTTTTTCAAGACAGGGTTTCGCTGTGTAGCTTTGGAGCCTATCCTGACACTAGCTCTGTAGACCAGGCTGGCCTCAAACTCACAAAGATCCTCCTGCTTCTGCCTCCTGAGTGCTGGGATTAAAGGCATGCACCACCACCGCCCGGCATTATTTATTCTAATTTTCTTTCCTTTCCCATTTTTATTACATTTTACGTGTGTGTGTGTGTGTGTGTGTGTGTGTGTGTGTGTGTGTGTGTGTGTCCCCAACACCACACATTATGTGGAGGAGTAGGAGGAACAACCTGTAGGGAATTGGTGGTTACTTGCTACAGCAGTAATAAGAAACGTATCTCAGGGACTGGAAGGACGGCTCAGTGGTTAAGAGCACTTGCTGCTCTTGAAGAAGACTTGAGCTCAGTTTTCCCCACCAATGTCAAGTGCTCACATCTGCCTGGAACTCAAGCTCCAAGAGATTTGATGCCTTCTTATGGCCACCAAAGACACCTGCACCTATGTGTGTATGTGCACATAAATAAAAAATAAAATAAATCTTAAAAGAAGAGGTTAGAATCAGAAGAGGATAAGTTCAAGGCTAGCCTGAACCACATAGCAAGATCCTGTTTCACAAAACAAACAAAAATTACTTTAATTCTGGAATTTAGGGCTCTGTTACTATGTATATATAAACTTAGTATGTTCCTGTTCTCTTTCCAGGTGATGCCTGTAGCTTTAGTTACACTTCCTCCCTGGAGCTGCCTTGATGGGCAGATGCATTTTGTCAAGCTGTGGGTGCTTTGGTTCGCCCTGCCCCATTCTCCTTCCTGTGCCTTTGCTCCTCCTCAGCTGACTCAGGTGGAGCTGCTATGCAACATTTACCTCCCCTCTGGGATCTCTGTTGTTTACCTGGTGAGCTGAGAGCCTTTGGACTCTATTCAAACTCATCCTTACAGTTCTTTCCATTTAACTGTCCTATTTCAGTCTCAACCCCTCTCCTTTTCCTTCCCTTGCCCCTTATCTCTTCTTCCCATCTCTCTGTCTCTCTACTGGATCTGATTTGTCCCAGGCTCTGACCTGGTTGTGTAGTGGAGGATGACCTTGAACTCCTGATCATCTTACCTCCACTGGGGTTACAGGGGTGACCTACTATACCCAGTTTATGAGGTGCTGGGGATTGAACCCAGGGCTTCATTCATGCTAGGTCAACACTCTACCAACCTTCCAATTCCATTTTATTTTTAAGTGTGTGTGTGTGTGTGTGTGTATCTTGTAGCCCATGCTAGTTTTAAACTCATGTGCTACCACATTCAACTTTCCCATTCTCTTAGACGAATTTTCAGAGACTTTTTTTTTCTGAGACAGTGTTTCTTTGTGTAGCCTTGGCTGTCCTGGAACTCTGGAACTGGCTCTGTATAGCCCAGACTTGCCTTGATCTCATAGATCCCTGCTCTGCCTCCTGAGAGTCCTGGGAATAAAGGGGTGCACTTTTTGGGTGGTGGTTTTGCTTTCTTTTTCTGTGACTCACTCAGAAGTTACACACACACACACACACACACACACACACACACACACACACACACACACACAGTTTCCTCTCCTGTTTTATTTTACTGTGCTTGGGATAGAATCCAATACTGTACCATGAGCAATACTCTAGTCCCACAGTCCCCCTTCAATGGCAGTCATCCATACTTTAAAACACTGTACTGTGCATGCCGTGCTAACCTACCTGAGAGCATGGTCAGAGTTGGAAGCGGTTCTAGCCTAGCCCAGCCCAGCCCAGCCAAGCCCAGCCACCTATGTAATGTGGGGGTTTTCCTCCTGCTTTTCTACACATGAAGGTCCCTGTTTATATGCTCACTCATATGCTCCCAAGAACTCTACTCCTGCTGCGTCTACACTGCCAGTCCTTCCCTTGGGTCCCAGCTTCCTTTAATCCTGTATCATGTGCTTAACCCCAGCACCTACTAGGAAATGTCCCAGCTTTGTAGAGAAGTGGAATGATGCTCTGGCTGGGGACACCTCCCCACTGGAATGGGTGTTTTCCTTAGCGCTTCCAGGTATTGCCCGACTGGTTTGCTCTTTTTGGGGTCAGTTGAATTGTCCTGAGGGGAGGGCATGTGCCTTTCTGTGTTTGTTCTGAGTCTATGTGTGTTGATTCATAGTGCCTGATGAATCTGGGATTCTTGCTTGTTTCCCCAATGAGAGGGCCTCATTGTACCTTGTAACATAAATAATAAATGACCCAGAGACTGATATTGGGTTTAAACTTCAAGCCGAATATCAGAAAAGCAAAACAGCTGGCCACTAGCTTCTTACCTCTACCTCAGGCTGTATCGATTGATCCTGTCTCCACTAGCTCTCACCAAACCGCAGACTGTAACCTCTCCTCAGTCAGCATGGATGAAGAATGAATGCCTTCTCCTGACTTTTATACCCCTCCAGTGCTGAGGTGAAAGGTGTGAGCTATAATTCTCTTTTAGACTGATTTAATCTTGTGTAAATCTGGGTGGTCTTGGACTCACAGAATCAGTCTGCCTCCTAATCCTGAGTCCTAGGATTAAAGATACATACTACCACCTCCTAGTTTCTGGCTACTGGGATTAAAGGTATGTATCACCACTGCCTGATTGCTATAGCTTGAGGCTGATTTTGCTTTTCTGAATCCTCAGACAAGCTTTAATGAATCATAAACAATACAGCACTACAGTACCTGCCTATTATAGTTTCATTGCTGTTGCTGTGATGAGTTACCCTGAGAAAACACAACTTTGTTTCAGCTTGCATTTCCAGGTTACAGTCCTTCATTGTGAAGGATTCAAGGCAGGAACTTCAAACGGGGTCATGCCACATCCACCGTCAAGAGCAGAGAGCAATGAATGTGTGGCTTGCTTGCTCATGCTTATCTCCTTTTCTCTACCCTTACTGAGTTCAGGACCCATTGCCTAAGGAATGGCACCACCCTTGGAAATGATCAGTCAGTATTCACTCTGCATTGCTCAGTGATATCCTGTCATTTGCATCTTCCATATTTCATTTATTCATTCACTGATTGGTAAACATTTGGGGTCTTTCCAGTTTGTTTTGTATAAGGAAGACTTCTGCATGCTGGTACCCACATTTTCTATGCAACTGTATGTCTGGTTGATACCAGAGAGTGGATTTGTTAGCCATGTGGCATCTCTTTGATGGCCTTGTCCACACACACCTCTGAACTGACATCTCAGTCACTGTCTTGTTTTCTCAGGGCTGTGTTTCAGTTTTGTTTTGTTTTTTTCATTTACCTTTAGTCTTTCTTGAACTGCAATTAATTTGGTGACTAAGAGACTTCATTTTCAGAGGTTCTTCATCTGTTGTCACCCAAATATGCCAGGCCTGTTGTATATGGATGTATTTTGATACTGTTGCAACGTTTAAGTCTCTGAGATCTCTAGCATTTGTGTTTTCTCTCTTTGTGTGTGTGTGTGTGTGTGTGTAGGCCAGAGTACAACTTGATCTTCATTTCTGTAGTTCCTTCTGTCAGGCAGTGTCTCTCATTGTCCTGGAACTGGTTAAGGAGGCCATGCTGTTTGGACAGCAAGACCCAGGGAGCTACCTGGCTGGCTCCATTGCCACAGCATGCTTATTTGTATCCACTGTGATCCTACATCTGGTTCTGTTTCTCACTTAGCAAATTTTTGTGTCTTTGAGAAGTATCTACATTGATCTTTGGAAAGACAGTGGGCTGTTTCTAACTGCAGACAGGCATCCACTTTACTCTCACTGCTCCTGTCATACATACCCCATCGCCCTGCCAGAAGCTCTTTGTCACCTCACAATGCACCATGATGAACCACTTGTTTCTGAGGGATACATGTACTCCATAACATTGAAGACCTCTTTGTGTTCTAACCAACCATTTGTGATTGTTCATTTTCCTATCAGGTGGAGACAGTAGGACTCTTGGAACTCAGTGCCCAGTCTAGCCCAATCAGAGAGTCCCAGGTCCCAAAGAGTGGAAACCCTGCTTCAAAACCCAAAGTGAATGGCTGTCATGATTACTTTCCCATCACTGTGATAAACTCTCTTGGCAAAAAATAGTTTAAGGGATAAAGGATTTATTCTGGCTTACAGATCAAGAGTGTAGTCCATCATGGCAGGGGAAGCCAAGAGAGCCCCTGGTCACATCCCCTTAACCTTCAGGAAGCAGAGTGATGAATGAGTGAATGGTAGTGCTTGTTTTCTCCATTTTATAAATCTCAGAATGCCCTGCATGCAGAATGATCCCACGTGCAATTAAGATGGGTCTTCCACATCAACTACAGTGCTAAAGGAAATCCAACAGACATTTTCAGAAGTTAATCTCCGTCTCAACAGTCCCTCACAATTGGGGTGAGGTGGCTCCTAGGTGATTGATAGGAGGTGTCCTTCTGTATTCTGTGAATATGTTTTTCTTATTGGTTGATGAATAAAACTGTTTCAGCCAGTATACATGCAGGATTTAGCCATGCGGGAAATCCAAACAGGGATAGAGAAAGGTAGTAGGCAGAATCAGGGAGACTCCATGAAGCTGCCTAGAAAGGAAGAGACCCAGGCATCACTGGTAAACCAAGACCACATGAAGATACACAGATTAATAGAAATGGATTAATAATTAAGAGAGAGAGCTCGCGAATAAGAAGCCTGAGCTATTGGTCAAATAGTTTATAATCAATATAAGCCTCTGTGTGTTTATTTGGGACTAAACAGTTGCAGGACCAGGCAAGACAGAAACTTCTGTCTACAGGTGATTCTAAATTCTGTCAAGTTGACAGCAGATAATCACCACAGTGGCCTTGACGAATGGCCACCAAGACTGATCCGTGACTTCCACATATATACACACTCCCACTTATCTGTGCATACTGCCCCTAAACATGTACACTCACACACAAAAGAAATTTGTTTATTATTTTATTTATTCAAGCAGAAGTAGTAGGATGCAACAGGAAGGTCTTAGAAAACAAATCACAGGGAAGAAGGAAGTGGCCTGGAAGACTCAGGGTCCAGAAGGCTGAGAACCCAGTGAAAGCAGTCCCTGATAGATCGGAAGCACAGACCCCTGTGGGTCAGACTCTGGTTCTCACTAGCAGTCCCAAAGAGGTAGGTAGTGGCCACCTGTGGTCATCAGATAGGCAGCTGCCTTTACAGGGGGGCGTTTACAGGCATATGAAATACATTTCTCCAGAGGGAGGGTGGAGACAGGACCTAGCTGGAGGGTTGTGCCAGGGAAGGAGATGAGGACATGGATGAAAAGTAGGGAGGGATTACAAGTATCTGGAGACTCTGTAGAAAGGAGTTAAGTCAGGGACACCAGAGGTCCTGGAGCATCAAGAAAACTGAAGGCCTAAGTTCAGAGATTTAGATTTTGCATTGGCAGCACACAGGGGCACAACAGCTGGACTGGCAGCAGCAGGGCTTGCAGCAGCTGGACTGACAGCAGCAGGGCTTGCAGCAGCTGGACTGACAGCAACAGGGCTTACAGCAGCTGGACTGACAGCAACAGGGCTTGCAGCAGCTGGACTGACAGCAACAGGGCTTGCAGCAGCTGGACTGACAGCAACAGGGCTTGCAGCAGCTGGACTGACAGCAACAGGGCTTGCAGCAGCTGGATTCACAACAACAGGGCTTACAGCAGCTGGACTGACAGCAGCAGGGCTTACAGCAGCTAGACTCACAGCAGCAGCAGGGCTTGCAGCAGCTGGACTGACAGCAGCAGGGCTTGCAGCAGCTGGACTGACAACAGCTGGACTTGCAGCCCCCACAGGAGCCACAGCCTCCCTTGCAGCCTCCACAGCCTCCACAGCCTCCCTTGCAGCCCCCACAGGAGCCACAGCCTCCCTTGCAGCCCCCACAGGAGCCACAGCCTCCCTTGCAGCCCCCACAGGAGCCACAGCCCCCACAGGAGCCACAGCCTCCCTTGCAGCCTCCACAGGAACCACAGCCTCCCTTGCAGCCTCCACAGCTGGAGCAGGAACAGGCAGGCACACAGCAGCACACAGGCTTGCAGCAGCACACAGGCTTGCAGCAGCTGGAGCCACAGCCCCCACAGCTGGAGCCACAGCCTCCGGAACAGCCACAGCAGCTCATGGTTCTGGTGTTGGGTTGAGGATGGAGTAGGTCAGAGGAGAGATGTAGAGGGAAGTGTGCAGTGTGGAGTCCCCTGGGTCTGGGGCCTTTATATCCCTGCCCAGGTCAGGTGCAAGTCTGCATGCAGTCACTTCCTTGTGACTTTTTGTGGGTCCTCCAGATCCTCATGTTTTCCTCATGCAGTGACTTCCTGCTGGTTCAGCTGTACATCCTTGCCTTTGTTTTTTATGTAGCTGGTCTTTGGTTTTTTTGTTTGTCTGTTTGTCCTGACCTTATTAGAGCCTGAGCTCCATCTAGTTAGGGGATGTCCCTAAGAGGCCAGTTTCAGCTGTCTCTGTTGATGATGTGACTTATAAGAATACCATCTTGGTCACAAGTACATACTTTCATTGTTGACTGTTCCCTGATGACATTTCTTTTATATTTAAATTTTCAAGTCACCTGTGGTGTTTTATTATAAACAATAAAGAAGAAAGTAAATGAGTCACCACCCTGTTCCTACAGGTGACACTTGGTTGCTCTCTGTAATCATGCCATACACAAATTACATAGACATTCCCAGACCTGTTCTGCCTCAGTTTCTTCATGGCTGTATCAGCCTCAGGGAGTGGACTTTCCACAATTCTCCTGTGAGTGTAAACTCACCCCATTCTCATACCTGCAGTGGGATCCCTTTCCCTGCCAAGCCTGTCTGACCATCAGTCTCTGGCTATTTCCTCACTGTCCACTCAGTGCCCACTCCTCTGAGGCCACTACCAATCAGAATCTGTGTCTTTGCTCATCTTGGCTCCATAGGGCAGACGTCCTTTCTGTTGACAATTGGCTGTGTCTCCTAACTCAGGTGCTGGAAACTACTGCAATGTTAGAATGCTCTCAGATTCATTATTGTGTAGGTCTTGTGCAGGCAACCACAACCGCTGTGAGTTCATGGATATATCATCCCTGTCATATCCAAAAGACAGTTCCACAGCCTCTCCCTGTCCTCCTGCTCTGAGGTTACTTCTGTCCCCTGTTCTGTGATGTTCCCTGAGCCTTGGGAGGAGGAGGAGGTTTGAGATAAAGATCCCTTTAAGGGCTGATCACTTAACAGTCATTTAATCTCAACACTTTGACCAGTTAAGAGTTTCTGCATTGCCGGGCGTTGGTGGAGCACGCCTTAATCCTAGCACTCGGGAGGCAGAGGCAGGCAGATCTCTGTGAGTTCGAGGCCAGCCTGGTCTACAGAGCGAGTTCCAGGACAGCCTCCAAAGCTACCGCTCCATGTGAAGTTTCCCAGCCTTCAGGATGTGAAGTTATTCTCTCTTCTTTGTAACTTACTCCCGTTTGGCATTCTTTTCTGGATGTCTAAAACTGCCATGTTCCAATCACTAAACCTTTGGAGATACTGGCTACTCCATTCAGCATGGTGTCTTCCAGGCTCATTCTGTGTCACATATGTTTTCAAGGTGAAAACTCATTTTGCTGTGTGTAGACAATATTTTCCTTATTGATTTGTGTTTGGTAGACACTAAGGCTGTTTCTACTTCTTGACTGTTGTATGTAGATGGAGGTTCTGGCCTGCCTAGTCCTTTAACCCTTCAATTAAATACACAGAGTCTTATTTTAATTATAAAACTGTTTGGCCAATGGCTCAGGCTTCTTACTGGCTAGCTCTCTCTTAATTATTAACCCATAACTATTAGTCTATGTATTTCTACATGACCTTATCTTAATGGAGAGAGCTCCAGCATGTTACTCTTTCAGTGGCTATGTGATATCTCCTGGCGACCCCTCTCTGTGTCCTCTCCCCAGAATCTTCCTCGTCTGGTAGTCCTGCCTGGCTACTGGTCAATCAGTGATTTATTCATCAACCAGCGAACATATATGCAGAAGGATATCCCCCATGAGTTCTGAATGGTGCTAACAGGCTTATAACATGTCATGAGCAGGGGAGATTTCAGGAGTGGAGTTGATAACATCATATGGGAGTTTTACTGTTTGTCTACTGAGAACTGTCTCAAATACCTGCCAGTAGGGACCCAGGTCCCTGTCCCCATCTTCTTACCAGCACTGGTTAGGCAGATGTGGGTGTGATTTTGATCTCTGTCTCTCTGTCATGCACGCACGCATGCAGACAATCACACATGCACATTTATGTGGTGGCCAGAGGTTGATATAAGGTGTCTTTCTCAGTCACCCTCCACCTTATTGAGACAGGATGTTTCACTGAAGTTCACAAATTAGGCCAGTCTGGCTGGCCAGCAAGCTCTGAGCATCTTGTTTCTGTTTCTCCAGCTTGATGAGAAATGCACGTCACTGCCGGGCGTTGGTGGTGCACACCCTTAATTCCAGCACTCGGGAGGCAGAGGCAGGTGGATCTCTGTGAGTTCGAGACCGGCCTGGTCTACAGAGAGAGTTCCAGGACAGGTTCCAAAACAATACAGAGAAACCCTGTCTTGAAAAACAAAACAAAACAAAAACAAGGAAAAAAGAAAGAAATGCACGTCACTGTACCTGGATTTTTATATGGGTCCTGGGAACCAACTCAGGCCCTCATGCCTGTGCAGCAAGCACTTCACTGCCTGGGTCATCTCCCCAGTCCCTGCTTTTTTTCTGATTATTTTTTTGAGACGGGGTCTTACAATGTAACTATGACTAGCCTGGAACACACACAACATAGCTCAAGATGGCTCTGAACTCCTAGCAACCCTCCTGCCTCAACCTTCTGGGCTTGATTTGAATTTTTCTCATGCTTTAGTCCATCCCATCCCTGATTGGAGTCACATTTTGCAGCCACTGGCTCTCTGCCCAGGGATTCTGTCCTCACTAAGCTGGTGATCCTCAGGTGGGAAGGAGGGAGTCTGTTCTTGGTGTTGAAGGCTCTTACTGCATCCTATGATCTTTGAGCCATTGTGAACATCCACAGTGGCCTGCTGTGTCACCTCCCTCAATGCTCTCCCTTGTTTATGAAACATCCTCTCCAGCTTACTCCACTTCTCCTGTTTAGTGTCTTCAAGGAACCAAAGTTCACTGACAGCATTCAGGGTGGCAGGAGAGCTGATACTTGGACCCGTGAGAGTTTTCTTCTTGGGCATCCTGAGGTCTTCTTGATAATTTCAGCTTCACGGTAGAATACCTGGGTTCATGATAACTGCCAGCTCACAATGGTTCCCAGAACCCTGGAAATCTGGACATGAGCTATAGCATCATTCACGCCTCTTCTGAAATATGCCAAGGGCCATGCAACCCCATGCCGGAAGTCAGATGTTGAATTTTCAGCTGAGGATGGCTGATCGAGTCCAAATCCATTCTCCTTCACCTCCCCAGTAAAGTGCCCTAGAGCAACTCATAGAGCAGTCAGCCTTTTGAGCAGTCATCCCTTTGGCATTCTGAAAATATCTATGGAGTTTCTGAAGATCAACAGAGGAAGCCATGTTCCACATAAGAAGCTGTGACCAGGTCCTGTCACCATAGGATCAGATGCTCTGTGTATCTCTGTAGCTGCTTGGATGTCCCTCCCTCTCCACTGTTTGCAGAAACTGTAATGTTCTCTAAGCTCAAATGTGGTATAAGAGCCTAGGCACCAGTAGAATTGCCAGGAACTCTTTAGGGATTTATTAACTCACTAATGGAAGCAAGTAATTGCATTCACATGGTATGAGCCTCCCTCTGAGAACAGGAACTCCAGAAAGAAACAGGACAGATGGGGCTGTCTGCTCAGAGCTGGAGACTTGCCTAAGGACCCCGCTAGGCTGTCATCCAGCCTGTTAGGGCAGGTCCCCATTTGTCACACAGGAAGCTCCCTGAGCCTGACTGTCTAGGAAACGCTCCCCTTAACCAGGTCCTGCCCACCTGGCTCACTCTGTTGTTATGTGTGGCAGCGATGATTATGAAAACCTAGGGAAGCCAGAGGCTCTTCCAGACTTACTGCTCTACCCTGTGAGTCCAAACTTTGTGGCAAGTGATGTTTTATCACTGAATATATGTTTCTGACTTATGAAGCTTATGAGAGAAGAGGAAACTGGTCTTAGAATGAACCTTCAACTTCAAGACCCTGAAGACTGGGTGGAGTCCTGTATTTCTGGGAGCTGACAGCAGAGGGCAGAGCAGCCCAAGGATTTGCTGCCAGAGCTTGCTTCTAGACAGTAATGAACAGTAGTAATATTCAAAACTTTAAAGATGCTGATGGTTATTAATTAGAATATGATAAATTGACAATATAACTATAACAAGAATAACATAATGATTAGGAAATAAGAATTGATGGTGGGCCTGGTGGTGGTGGTTCACAGTTTTAATCCCAGCATTTGGGAGGCAGAGGCAGGCAGATCTCTGTGAGTTCTAGGACAGCCAGAGCTTCAACACAGAGAAACCCTATCTCAAAAAAAACAACAACAAAAAAGAATTGATTGTGGTAATAATAGTGTAACCACTAATATATTACATATTGATACATTATATATAAACCAATATGTTAATATGTTAACATGTAAGCAACAAGATATTGATGCATTTGTAATAATATACTATTATGTTAAGAAAATATTGAATTGTACTATCACATTAATATTATAATAATTACTTTATATTACTTTTCATGACTATCAAGTACATGCTATACTACCAGATTA